GTTTCTTACAAAGTTTCTCAGCGTTCTAATAGATGTTTTTTAATAACTAGTGGCTATAAAAAAAGTTGTTTTTTTAAAAATTTAATGCAAAATATCTTATCAGTATAACATTTTAGTTCATGATATAAATCTTTCTAGATTAGTTAATTACTAGTTAAAAACTATAAAACTATTTTTTAAATTAAAAAAAAAAAACTTTGAATTAATATTATAAACTATATTGAGATTTCTTTACCAAAAAAAAAAACAAAAAAAAACAGAAATAGTCTTAAAAAAAAACACTCAATAGAGGTACATATCAAAAGACACAAACAAATAATTAACTGAGTTCCTTGTGTTTTCTGCCAAAAAAGTTAGACGTGTGTGACTAACTCGTGCAAGTTTGCTTTTTTTGTTTTTGGCTTCAATAGCAATCTCAGATTAAGATGATACTTAAAATATAGATTGTACAGATTGTGACTTAGGTATGGTTTTTTGTAAAATGTTATTAGTAATGATTGCCAATAGATATTCAGATTTCTGATTGAAAATTTATATCCACTCTTGTAGTCGTGGTGTTCATACCAATGAGTAAGTCTCGAAACAATTTATTTATTCAAATTTAGGTGCTCTTTGTGGTGCACAATAAATAATAAAAAAATACATATATATATATATATTTATTTATATATATTTATATAAATATATATATATAAATATATATAAACATATATATATATACATATACATATATATATATATATATATATATATATATATATATATATATATATATATATATATATATATATATATATATATATATATATATATATATATATATATATATATATATAGTGAGATATATAAATCTATGCATACCTGTATATACTGGATCCATAAGTGTAAAGTAGTAGATCACCTTCTTGTAGTTTACGCTCACTTTGCTTGATAAGTTGATTGCCTTGTTTAATCAGATATTTTTATAATTTGCTGTTCTTCTCCATATGTCCTAATCTATTTTTCAGGATTTTTTTCTAATTTTTTATATATTAATTGTTATTATTAAAAAATATATATAGGCATTGTATTTATTTAGTACTATATGTATTATATATATATATATATATATGTGTGTGTGTATTCATAGCTTATTTAAGTTAAATAAGCTATGAACACACACTTACACACACACACTATTTAGTTAGTAACTAAATATAAAACATCAAAAACTAACAAAGTAAATATCTCTTGTGAATATAATATGTTTTATATATTAAGTTATTATTATTGTTAAGTTTTAACAATAATAATAACTTAATATATAAAACATATTATACTCACAAGAGATATTTACTTTGTTGGTTTTTGATGTTTTATATATAGTTACTAACTAAATAGTGTGTATGTATGTGTGTGTGTGTACTTTTATAATTAGATTAGTATCAAATCGAAAAAAAAACACATTTAAAATTGAGAAGAAAAAAAAAAAAAGAATTTTATTGATAACAAAACTTTTATATGTATTGAATAATTAAAAAATTATTCAAATTATTCAAAACTTAAAACTAATAAATTCATTTTCATGTAGTTTGTTTGTTAAAAATGCATGAATTTAATCTTTAGGGTCATTAATTGGGCAAAGTGAATCAACCTATTCACTGTAACCCGATTCACTGTGGCCCTCCATAACAAATTAAGTTAAAATCTAATTTATTAGGAGATGAGTGTTGTTAAAAGAAGAGCTAAACTACTAAAAGGAAATATAGATATCAATAATCTGAATGAAAAATTTCAACTTTAAAATTATATCAACCATGATCTCCATAACAAACATAATGAGGGTAAGAAAATTTACTTTAGTTAGCTAAAAACAAAAATTACCTACCAATATTCGGTAGTCAAAAATTATGTGGTAAAAACTATAAATAAAGATGGCTGATATATGAGCAAATAAAATGATTGAATTGTTAAGATGAACAAAAATCTATTCTTTAAGAAAATGCCTCTTATTCACTGTGCCCCTTGATCCACTGTACCCCAACTTCCCCTATACATTGGTTTCTAGTAATTGTTATTTTGAGCTTTTAAATGACACAGAAAAAGCAACAACTTGTTATTATCAGTTTGTTTGCGTTTTTTTACATTGTATTTTTTACATTAGTAACTTATTTATTAACAATTAGTAAATATAACAATTAGTAACAACCTTATGTTGCTGAGCTCTAGTAAAAATAGGTTTTGTGAAAGAAACATAAAACGTTCGGAAACATTTTACAAAAAATCATAAAATAAAAAAAAATTTCATTTTATATTGCATTAAATATGCATAATATGTATCAAACAGCGCACAGAGCCTCAGAAACTTTAAAAAGTGGCCAAAATTGGATTAAAAAAAAATTAATATTTTTAATTAAAAATTTTAAAATCTACTTTTTTTAATTATTGATTTGATAAAAATTTTAATTTAAAAATTATTCATTTTGCTCTTAGATAACGTTTCTTTCGGCAATAAATACATTTTTTAAAATTGAAAGCGAGTTTTGCGGACAATTTGACATGTTTTTAAAATAACCTTTTACATCAGTCAAAAGTCTTAAAACAAAAGTATAATTCCATAATAATGTTTAAAACATCAAAAATGAATTCCTTGACCCAGAAAAACCCTAAAAACATGTTAAATATAATGTTTTTTAATAAATAATTTTGGCCACTTTTTAAGGTTTCTGACGCACTGTGCAACGTCTACAAATCTAACTTTTAAATCTTTTAAACTTTCTAGTCTTTTTACAATGTGTACTTTTTTTACAATGTGTACTTTTTTTAAATTAAATTAAGTATTAATTTAAAATAATTAAAATTGCAGCTTGTCCTCTCGAATATAAATAAAATTCTCAGACTATTTTGATGCTTGGCTTTTATCGTATTTTAAGTAATGACACCTATGACTGTATAACTTTTTTTCTCTAGACTTAATACTGTAATCGTTTTGAACCTGGATCTCTTGCTTATAAAGTAGGCAGCGACCACTGCGCAACGGCCGCACATAATAATAATTTAATTGTAGACGTCAAAAATAATGTTTTTGTAAAAATGCATTATATGATATACTAATATGAATCTTATAAAGTAAAAAGAATTTTCCACGTATTGTAGGTCATATCATAGATCATTTAAAGATTGAACTAAAAATGGTTGGCAACCATTATTCCCTATACTTTGAATTTACTATTTTCTTAAAGATTTAAACTTCTCATTTTTAACGGAAATCAAATCTTTTTTTATTTCACAACTTTGTTTTGATATTTTTTGGTATTTGAATTTTTTTTAGAATAATCATGATTTAAAAACTTATAGTGTAACTGGAGTTATAATAGGGTAATAGATAAAATAAATTTTAACAAAATAATAAAATATATTAATCCTAATACTTTGCATAATAAAGTTAAACGTCCTTGATCTATTATAACGTCCTTGATCAAACAAAATTTGCTGTAGATGGAAAGAAAAATAAAAATCTATCTATTTTGAACAAAATGAAGATGCTAACTAAAAATATATTCGCCAAGAATACGATGGAGCAAATCCGCGTAACTAGCATTGGATAATATCTGAAAAATGTAGCCAATTTAAAATTTTGTGTTGTATTGCGACTTAAATAATAACATAAACACGTAATATCGATTATTGACATAACAAAGAACATGAATAAAACTCTCCATGACAGAAGGAGCCTAAAATCTATTGAAATAAAAAAAAAGATGAAATAAATAAAAATGTAAATGTAAACCTTCTTCAGCATACCCGACGAAATGTAATGAGTGTTATTTGCAATGGTTTGCAAGAAAGAAACATTTAACAAAATACAGAATACGTTCATTGTGCATTTATACCTTGTTGTTAAAGATGCAATAAAAAAACAAGAATGTGTCTGCATTTTTCGTTACACTCTAAAGGAATGCTCATTTTTAGAAATTTTTTTAACATCATGGGATTGGTTAAAAATCACTGGTGAATAAAATTGAACTTTTAAAAAAGTTAAGTTTAAATCGATGGTATGGAATTGACTTGATGGCTTCTACTATTTGCTATTAACTTTACTGATGGCTAATAAACTACGTTACGCTAATATATAAAAAAAAAGAAAAATAGTTCATCATGAAGCTCAATCAATAAAAGATATATATAAAAAGATTAGAGTTGAGTTTCACGTGAGTTATAAAAATCTAACAAAAACAAAAATAGCTTCAAAAATATTGCAAAATAAAAATGTAAATTTAAATGTAGCAAATATTATTTGAACCTGTTTAATAATATTTTATTATGTCTATGATTCCATTATCCTATCTGTAAAAAAATAATAAATAAAAAAAGCTAAATTGCTCCCGGGATAACTAAGAATTTCAAAAAAAGTCTAAAATCAAACAAAAATAAAAAAATGCTTTTAAATACAAAATTGCACAAAGATTAAATTATGGTCTTTTTTTTTTAAATTGATAGACATTCACTACAAGGAATGTCGTTTAATAAATACTACACAAACACTGTTGTATTTATAAATTGTATTTATAAATATCAATAAACAATTATCGTTTTACTATCAAACACCACGTTTTTTATAATTAGTTAAACAAAACAACTTTGTTACTGGAAAACAATTGACGTTTCTAAAAAGCCAGTTATTCTTTCTGAAAACCCAGCTATTTTTACTGTAAACCTAGTTGTTACAGACATTTTTGTATATTTTGTTTTTTCAAAGTTGATTAACATGCATTTCAAGGTATCTCATTGAATGAATATTATACAAATAATGATTACA